ATATACTAATATTGAAAAGCTAATTGTTGATTGTCAAATAAGGACATTGCGAGATAGTTCTCACTTCAATTTGTTGTGTGAATTGAATACTCTTTTTGTCAATAAATCCCCCAAGTAGTTAATATGATTGACATAATTATATATTTTTTTATTTTTTTTAAAACAATTATTATTATTATTATTATTATTATTATTATTATTATTATTATTATTATTATTATTATTATTATTATTATTATTATTATTATTATTATTATTATTATTATTATTATTATTAAGTCATTTTACATGTTAATCTAAACAGCTAATTTTTTTAAATATCTTTTTACCAACCGTTGATATAATTCGCTGGTCAAATCCGCTAATATAATCCGCAAACGATAACCGCCAACTGTTGATTGTCAAACAAGGACATTGTGAGGTAGTTCTCACTTCAATTTGTTGTGTGATTTGAATACTCTCTTTGTCAACAAATCCTCAAGTAGTTAATATGATTGACTTTATTAATTATATATTTTTTAATTTTTTCATATTATTAATAAAAAAACTTGGTAAATAAATATATAGCATTATTTTGTATTATAACTTTGATATTTAATTAAAAACTAATGAACAAAAAAGATAATAGATAATGTAGTAAATACAATCAATTGATGAATTTGAATGTAAAAAATTTTTACATTTGGAGAAATATAAAGAGAATATAACTAATGAAATTATTTCTCTTAATTAATTTATTGATAATGAATAATTTTTTTTTTAATAAAGACATTGTAGGGATAATGTAGCGAATATAATCAATTTATGAATTTGAATTTGAATGTAAAGAATTTTTATATTGGTGAAAAATAAAGACAATATAACTAATGAAATTATTTCTCTTATTTAATTTATTGATAATGAATAATTTTTTTTTGAATAAAGACATTGTAGACACATAATTGTAAATTAAAGAAATGCATATGTATTATTTTTTGTTGTAGGTACTAAATTATTATTTATTTTAATAAGAGTAAAATAGAATACTAATTATGTCAACTTTGGGATGAGATTCGAACCTAAGACCTTTCATATTGAAATCAATGAGTAAGTTAACGGTGAACTAACAGAAATTAACGAAAAAGATAATATTTAACGGGAAAGTTAACGGATAATCATATTGATTAAGGATAAATTAGGAAATCTCAAGAAAAAAATTAAAATAATGATCAATCTGAGCTATTCATTTAATATATATAGAGATAAACATAGAGATAGAAATAGAGCTATAATAATAAAATATAATTTATAAAATATAAATACATATAATAACTTCAAAAAAAATATGTATAACTACATCTACCCACGCAATTAATGCATTCATACTTGCTAATCTTGTTTCTATCAAAATGTGCTAATCTTGTTTCTATCAAAATGCATTCACACTTTGGAGGGAAAATTTTGTGGCTAGATTATGCTTTATTATATATAAAGATATAAAGATAAAGATAAAGATAAAGATAAAGATAGTGATGTAACAAAACTAATTAGATTGTAAGGTTGATGAATGTCTAAAACAGTAAAATTAATGCTTTTTCCTCGCATATTTTGGTACTTTTTGCTTGTTATTCATTATATTATGGAGTCATTTTGGTCACTTATGGAATTATTGCGTGTGTTAGATGATTTGACAAAGAAATGATGTTTCGAGGCATTTAATGAAGTATTTGATCAAGTTTTTGGAGCCACATTAACATGAGAGCACAATTGGATGACCAAAGTAATGATTTTTGGAGTTTTGGGATGGACCATGTGAGACCCGCAGCCGAAGAAGGCACCGAAGCATTGCCGAAGACCTTGGAGGCCTCCCCTGCTAGCCACAGGCGTGCCCACTCCCGTGGCTAGAAGACAGTACACACTGTCTTGTAGGCACGGGTCTGGGCACGCCCTTGCCTGCACCCGTGCCCACAAGTCAGTGGGCATGGTTATGCTGGGCACAAGCGTGGCCAAACCCGTTCCCGTGCTTGTGCCCATCCTCTGTAACTTTTTAAAAAACACTCTTCCCTTGTTTTAAAGAACTATTTTCACCCCAAAACTCATCTTTCATTTCTCTAGTTTGGGTTAGCATAGTATAGCTTAGATAGGTGTACATTTTTCGTTCCTTTCCATTTCCAAGCTCAAGAACATTGCAACTCTTGGATTTCAAGCCATTAATAGAGAAGTTTTATTATTCATATTTTTCCTTTGATTTCCTTTTATGCTTTCAATTACTCCTTTAATATTGTATATATATTATTATATTATGAGTAGCTAAGTGTTTTAGGACTAGGATTTGATTTGATTTCTTGCTATTGATGCCTATATGAGTTCTATTGCATAAGGGGGATTATTTGAGTGTTCTAGGGTTAGTTGTGTGAATTGGGTTTGTTGAGAAATTGTGTAGAATTGTTGGATCCCAATTATATGCTTTATTTGGAGTGTTCCTGTTGCTACGAGAGTAGAGCTTGTACACTAGCCACACGTTCACACACTTGATGCCCAATACGAGAGTATTTCGGGTGTTAAGGAAAATTTATGCCTTGTGTTCTTGTTTGGACAACCTTGGGTTGATTTGCCATGAGAGTGGAGTTCAAGGTGAGGTTGCAAGTCCAATAGCTACGAGAGTGGTATTTGGACACTTTTGTGCATCTCACTTACCTTATGCATTGATTTAATTTCCTAATCTTTAGTACAATATTTGAAGCAAACGTCTGTTGTGACTTCATCAACCTTGTGGAATATTGAAGCAAACGTAGGGATGAGGGAGTGGCAACAATTGGTTGAGCCTCACCAACCAAGATTTTTTATTCTTAAGACATTTAATTGGCCTGTACTGCTTGCCTCTTCATCCGATTCCATCACGATAAGGGGTTGCTCCTACTTACTAACAATAATGTTTCTGGTTCAATCCCCCTTGTTCTGGCAAATGTAAAAAGTTTAGTACAATTGCAGCTTCATACAAACTAGATTTCAGGATTGAATCCACTAGAGTTGGGAATTATATTTGTTGAGCCTTCAAGTGTTTTTTTTTTTTGGGTGAATCATTGGCACCCTTTAGTTTAGCCCTCTCCTGGATATAAGTGAAAAAGATACGTTGATAATATGATTTTGCTCATTCTCTATAATTTCTTTTGATATATTTTCAGCATACAATTTGTGCAAGTAATCCATACTCATTCTTCTTACACAATTCATGTTTGCAATTCAAACAACAAATCCAACACCTTTAGATCCAATATAATTATGAAACTAAAAAACAATAACCAAAAATTAACAATAATATTCGTGATCTATTTTAGATTCAAATATGTTATTTTTGCAAACAATAGCACAAGTAACCCAATTAATTGCACACTACCAACAAAAAAAAAAAAAAAAAACAAAAACAAAAAAAGCAATGAAGACAGAGACAATGACAAACTTATCCAAAAGTGAATTAACAAAACTTAGAGTAATTCCAGCTAAAAATAATATCAACTACCTAATACCATACTTACTACAATAAATATTTAAATAATTATTTTTTAGAAAAGTACAAACATTAATTTTAATTTAGCGCCAACTATAATAAACTTTTCATATATAATCAAACTTTGAATTACTTATGCATAAAAAAATCATTGTCTTAATTACACCATAAAAAATAATAGCTCAGATTCTCATATCATATGCAAGTGCATATACCTTTTTTTTTGGAATAAGGGTCAAATAAGCCATCGAACTATACACGATAATGCAATTAGGCCACTGATGGGGTGTGGACCCCGGCCCAAGAAGAATAAGTACAAAAAGAGAAGCCCAAAAGGAAGGGGGAAGTCCAAGAATGACGAAGAAGCCCAAGAAGAATAAAAAACGGTCCAAGGGGTGGGGGTCTGAATAAATAACGAAGACGAAAGCCAGGAAGAGACTAGGGCCGAGTCCAAGAGTTGGCCCAAGTCCAAGGAAGAGGCAAGTACTCGGCCGGATCAGTAGAGAGCCGTTGCGCATCATTTATGACGGCATTGAAGAGCTCGGTCAAGGAGCCGTTGGGAGGCCCGGTAACAGCAGCCCAACGGCCCTACGACGTAATTAGCATTTAAGACCCTTTAATGTACTTAAAGTCGAAATAAAGGAGGGCACCTATAAAAAGGCTCCTTCGAGAGTGTGAAGGGAGGCGAGTCCATGCCCAGAGAATAGAGAAACACTTTTCCACTTTTGTTTATTCCTTTCCATTTTGTCAAAGCTTTGTTGAAAGGTGAATCCATCGACCAAGGTTGTGTTGGACCTCCTTGGGCCAAAAAACCTTAAAACCAACACTGACGCCGTCCGTGGGGATCGAAATGAAGGGTCACGTTTGCTCCTGAGCAACAGAGTTCACAAAGGAAGAGAGACGAACGGGCGAGAGAATGTCTGAAGAACGAAGTCGTGCCCCCGACCGCCACCGCGAGCCGGAAGCCGACTTGAAAGATCAGCTGAACCAACGAAACGTGTAAAGTCAAGAAAATGATTCGGCGCCCCGAAACCGACCCCCGTCGATGATATCTCTCACCCCGGAGCAGCTTAGGGCCATCAGACGAGCTATTGCTGCCGAAAATCGGGAGAGAGGAGAACCGTCGGTTTTGCGACCATCGCCGTGCAACCAGTAACCGCCCCAAAGGTCGGACGGGGATATAAGAGAATATCGGCGAGCGAAGGATCCGCCGGCATGATCAGTCCATTCGAGATTAGGCCCGAATGTGACGCGACAATCGGCGAGAGAACGGCTGGGGGAGAGAGAAGCCAGCCGCGCACCGGCAAACCAACGAAATCGAGAGGTCACTCGAGAGAAAACCCGCACCAGGAAGACTCGAACTCGGGCGCGACAGACCGAGCGAACTACTCGCAATGAAGAGCGGCATGCCGAGTCACAGGTCGGTGAAAGCACCGAGTCCACAGGAAATCACACCTGAAACGCCGAGGATGTGGCCCACTTGGCCCAGGAGCTACGGAATTTGAAGGAGCAAATGGAAGGTCGAACCAAGTCCCCGGGTCGGACGTTGCTCACCGCCTTGCCCTTCTCGGCCAAGATTATGGCGTATAAGATACCCGGCGACTTTAAGTTCCCCGAACAGGCCACCTTCGACGGATTCGACGACCCACGCGAGCATCTTTTGAGTTATCAAGCCAAAATGAAAGTGCTGGGGGTTCGAGATCCCGTCATGTGCCGCGCTTTCCTGCTGACGCTGAAGGGATCGACGCAAAGATGGCTCGTGAGCTTGCCCCCGGGCTCAATTCGCAGCTTCGAAGAGTTGGCCGACCGCTTCATGAGTCATTATGCGGCTAACATCAAGCCGCAAAAAGATTTAACACATCTCGGGGATATCCATCAAGAGGAGGGCGAATCTCTCAAAACTTACCTGGCCCGGTGGCAAAAGGAAATTCAGTCCATTGAGGAAGTAGAGGACCAGACTGCCCTCACCTTCTTCATCGAATCGCTGCGATCCGGCCAATTGTATCGCGACCTTCGGGACAACCGGCCCGCCACCTACGCGGAGGCTATTCACATGGCCAACAAGCGGGCCAATACGGAACAAGCCGTAAAACATAAACGACAACGAGAAGTCGGAGGATCTTCCGGGGGAAAGCGAACCCGGGCAGAGGTACGGGAAAGATGTCCGGACCCGGCCCGGCGACCCGAAGCTCGACGTGTATACGGCCGCCGAGTGCAAGTGAATGCCAATGCAACCCTCCGGCTGGTTGTAGATCGGCTGGCCTTCCGGCGGGAAGAGGGTGGCCGAAGGACCAAGAAGGAAGGCGGCCATATTGAGGTCCGCCTCAGAGACTAACGACGGAGACCCCGCCGGCCGGGATATGGGGTCAAACTTGACCCTCGGCCGTTGGGAACCATCGGGAAGTGCTGCCACCGTCGTGAGAGGAGCCGGGCTCAAAGGAGTAACCGCCCCCGAGGAAGAAGGGGCCGGCTGAGACGAAGACGCCGATGGAGGATCGGACGGGATCTCCATACGGCGAGGCGAAGAGGAAGAAGACGAAGTCGAGGAGGAAGAAGAAGAAGAAGAGGAATACATGAGCACCAACCTGGAAGGGCTCCGGTAAAAAGGGAAGGAGACGAAAGCTGAGTTCAATTTAGAGGATGTTGCAGAATTTCTGGGTGGAGTGCGTAAAAGAGGGAAGAAGATGTATTTAAACTTGGGAGAATCCCAAGGGGTGGCCACGTGTCGATCGCCTGTTGGAGGATAGAGAGGGTCGATGGAATGTGATGGGACGGCTGTAATAAATGCCCTTGGGAAGCGGAACGACAGTTGGACCTAGGGTTAGTCTAAGACGGCGTGTCTGTAAACCCTAGGCCTAGGACGGGTCGAGATGACCCGGTCAACGGACGTAAGGCCCATCCTTGGCCATGGCTTCTGGGCTGCCCGGGTATAGGCCAGGTCATCCGTAGATAAATCGTTGGTCCGAGCCCGTCATTCGACATAAAACGACTTTGGGCGAGTGAACAAGAAGGCTGAGTCCATCGGTCGACATAGGAGTCGACGCCGATTTCACGTTATAACGAAAGGCTAGTTTGGTGACAGTTTAAGATAAACAAGAAACAAAGCCAGACAATTTTATTGATCAAGGATAGATAAAAGCCTTCGACTCGGCCATGTTACAAAATAAAAGAGGAAGTTAAAGCGATAAGTTAAGAACTATTCTTCTCTTCCGCCGGGCGGACAGGAGGTGGACCCTTTAGGAACAGCTGAGGGCGGAAAGGAAGTGGACACGGATCTGGTTCCGGCGCATCGTCCAAGTAGATGGCAGGCTTCCCATCATAGATCATTTGGAGGGGCTTCTCGAGAGCGCTGGGAGACATGGCCACCCCGAAGAGAGGAGGAACCTCCCACACCTCTTCCTCGTCTAACGCCGATTCTTCCACTACTAGCTCCACTCGACGTTCAGTCAAGTCCACGGGAATCAAGTCCAACATATCTGGTGGCACGACAATGGGATCTGAGGAGGAGTCGCCCACCAAGCGGCCACCGTTGGCCAGCCTCTGTTGCCTTAGCCTTTCCAGTCGAGCATGTTCCTTCTGGCGGATGGAGAAACGGCGATCACCGATTCGATAACTCATGATCGAAGTTGCTGAATCAGAAAGCGTGAGGAGCATGAGCGAAAGTAAGCCCCTTTATATAGCCTAAAACGGGAGCGAATATCCAGGCAAAAATCACGGAAGGGAATCGTAACTGACCATCCCCGGCCGAGATTGGACAACGTTCAGGAATCTCTGTCAGAGAATAGTTCCGTCAAATCCACTTGGGAAGAACAAAGAATCACACTTTATCTGAAAATGTGAGATCTTTCAGGATATTGGGGGATCACAGTTGTCAGACATCAGGATAAGGCGTCAGGTCGACTCAGAGATGGGCTGACTATTGAACCCAGTCGAGTGAAAAGGAGAATTCTAAAAGGTGAAAGTTATGTAGATTATTATTATTCAAAGGGGCGGTACATTAAGAAAGGAACTTATTACATCAATAGAAATATACGTTCCTTTGGCGGCTCTCCCTTGAAAAAAACTTCACTCGACGTTACCAGTAGACCCCGGATGGCACAATCACTCGTCGGGGGAAGAAGGCTCGTTCTGAAAGGACATCTCCTCCGATGGTCCGGTAGGAGAAGGACATAACGCATTCCAAATGTCCGGCATAAGCAGCGGAACAATAGGCGGCTCGTCATCCGGATACAGCTCAAGGTAGCGGGCGAAGTCGGCATCAGTCATAAGATCAGTCGCCGGCCCGTCAAAGTCATAAAGGGGAATGGTGAAAGTCATTCTGAAGGCCAGTTGCTCTGGGACCACCACCTCCACGAATGATCCGTCCTGAGCAGTGACACGAGCTACAGTCGGAGGTGGGGGGTCGACTAAGGACGGAGTATTTGCCACAGGAGACGGAGCCTCAGTCGACGGTTGAGAGACAGAAGACGTGGCGCCGACGTGATGCCTACTGAGGAAAGGACGACGGACCTTCTTCTTGTCCTCCTTCTCCGATCTCGGCCTCTTAGAAGGAAGGGGGTGACGCGACGATCCGAAGTCAATCTTTTTCCCTTTCATAGGGGAACGACCCATGGTTGACCAAAGGGAGTGAGGAAAAGACACAAGGAGCAGGGCGCTATTTATAGGGTCTCGAGAGAGGATAAAGGAATCTAAACGGTTACGGCGAATCAGGAAAATCCCAAGGAATTTGGGCGTTACTCGGACAATTAAGGGCGATAGATCGAGAAGATTTGCGGATGGAAGAAATAAACGTTTCTACTTTCCGATATCCGCGTTAGAGGACCGGATACCGGAAAGTGAGGGACTAGTTGATGGGGTGTGGACCCCGGCCCAAGAAGAATAAGTACAAAAAGAGAAGCCCAAGAGGAAGGGGGAAGTCCAAGAATGACGAAGAAGCCCAGGAAGAATAAAAAATGGCCCAAGGGGTGGGGGTCTAAATAAATAACGAAGACGAAAGCCAGGAAGAGACTAGGGCCGAGTCCAGGAGTCGGCCCAAGTCCAAGGAAGAGACAAGTACTCGGCCGGATCAGTAGAGAGCCGTTGCGCGGCATTTATGACGCATTGAAGAGCTCGGTCAAGGATCCGTTGGGAGGCCCGGTAACGGCAGCCCAACGGCGTAATTAGCATTTAAGACCCTTTAATGTACTTAAAGTCGAAATAAAGGAGGACACCTATAAAAAGGCCCCTCCGAGAGTGTGAAGGGAAGCGAGTCCATGCCCGGAGAATAGAGAAACACTTTTCCACTTTTGTTTATTCCTTTCCATTTTGTCAAAGCTTTGTTGAAAGGTGAATCCACCGACCAAGGTTGTGTTGGACCCCCTTGGCCCAAAAACCCTAAAACCAACAACGACTTTTAAAACACATAACATATATTTACTAATACTAGATTAGTTTTGTCCCCAAAAAAAAAAAAAACTAATACTAGATTAGTTAATATAAAAATTTTATTTGTACAAAGTGTAGGAAATAATGAACCAAGTAGAGTTACCAAAAATAATATATATATATATATATATATATATATATATATATATATATATATATATATATATATATATCAACCAAAATGAAATTTATAATCCTCCAGATTATAATTCCAACCAAAGGAAACGAAGTAGGATTTATTGCTTAAAAGCATAATCCCAAAACCGAAAGAAGAGAAGAAGGGAAGAGGGTTAGTATGAGTCGAGCGAAACACTCTTTACTTAAAACCTTATTTGCTACCTTTCCAAAGTACTAGGAGCATTGTACCCTAGGTTTTTCAGGATAAAACGTACTACGGTTCAACGTTTGAGCACCCAAACGAATGAATCCGGTGAACTAGAGCAATGACAGAACACAATCCGCAAGAATGGAGTAGGAGCAGAGTTTAGAGAGAGAAAAAACCTGTTGTGTGTGTTGTGTCTCTTGTTCTTCACCTTTCCACTACTTGAAAACCTACTACCCCTACCACACTCTTATATAGGAGATGAAGTACTTAATAGCATTTCAATGGTGGCATTCAAAACACATTTGTAACTCTTGAAACAGCAAGCCATTACTTTGGGGGGGGGGGGGGGGGGGGGGGTGTTAACTTCAAAAGTTAAAATTGGAATTAATTAAAAATTAATTCCGTAAATGATGAATTTGATCCCAAAACCAAGAACGAATATGGTTACTAAACATGGCCAACCCCAATGATTCGTTGTGCTATTCCATGACTCGTTGTGCTATTCAATGGTGGTATTCAAAACACATTTGTAACTCCTGAAATAGCAAGCCATTACTTTTGGGGGAGGGGGGGGGGGGGTGGGGTTAACTTCAAAAGTTAAAATTGGAATTAATTGAAAATTAATTCCGTAAATGATGAATTTGATCCCAAAACCAAAAACGCTTATGGTTACTAAACATGGCCGACCCCAATGACTCGTTGTGCTATTCCATAATTAGAAAGACTCTTCCATAAATAGTGGTGCAAATCCTCTTCCCAAACCAATGTGGGATAAAAGCTCATCTTTTTCCCTTCGAATCAATATCTCGTTCACCCATTATCCGTTTTGAGCGTACAATATATCAATCTCTTCGTCTCAATACGAAGAACCCGAATCCACTTTGACCCAACCCAAATCGAAAGGGACCACACTGATAATTGTACCACAAAATAGCCACTTAAAATGCCATTTTAATACTATTTTTCCAACACAAAAATCGTAGTTAATTGTCATTAATTAAATCATATATTTAAAATGGAATGATTAGAATTATATAAGCATATAAGAGCATCAAAATATTATAATTAAACAATATAAAACTTATAGATTTAATTAAATTAGATGGTCACATATGAACCTGGAAAAATAGAAAGATGAAAACTAGACTGTTGTGAATTCCTTGATCTTTTGGTCAGACAACGAAGTATTATGATTCATGAGCAGACCCTTATCACACTCAGACTAATCTTCATTCACACCAGGCAGACCATTCTGGTTTTTCTATATGAGAGGGAGTCTCCTGACCTCTTTTAAATGACGAGAATGCACAACCACTCACGCGAACTAAGTTGGTTGGTTAGAACCCTTATGTTACACTATAATGACACGTTTGGTTCGCGGAATAGGTCTAGAATGGCATAACATTCCCAGTAATAGACCTATTCTTTTGTTTGGTAAAAGTTTTTATTCCCAGGAACATTGTTCCTGGTAGTGACCTATTCCCCTTACAGGGGGGAATAACTATTACTAGGGGGCCTCCTGGTATTAACCTATTCCTGAGAACTCGGAATAGATTTTATATTTTATTTCTTTTTTACCCTTTCTCTCTCTTTGCATTTCTTTCAACGCTTTGGATTCTTTCTCCGAACAGGGTCGAAGTTTTTCTCTCCGATCGGGCACCACCACTGCATTGGCCGGAGTCTCCAAACCATGTAAGGCCCTCTCGCAATCGCGCTCTCTCACAGGTCAGCAAGTTCATCGCCATTGCAATTATAACAACATTTCACTTTGCTTGGAAAAATTATAACAACATTGCATTTTGCTTTGAAAAATTATAACAACATTGCACTTTGCTTTGAAAAATGAAGTCCTCTGATTATATTTGCAACTTCATAAATGGAGGCCAATCTAAAGCTTTCAACATCCCCATCTGTAAGTGCAACAACGAAGAAAACATATAAGCTTACAATCCCTGCATCAATCAATTTATTATTTTCATCATCTCTGTGGACATAAGAAATCAGAATTTGATTAATTACCTTCATCACTAGGAAAAAAGCTTTTGGGAAGCTTAAGATCATAGCCAAAGAGGACATCTCTCTTGAATCTATATCAATTTATATCCTTGTATGACATAGCCCCTACTGGTATAGCCCACAGTGGATTACTCAAAAACTCAACATAACTCTGAGAAAGTGGCGATCCAACTTGAGAAATAGGAACCACTACCACCGTCTGTTCCATTGTTAATGGGCTGTCGAACAGAATTCGGGGGACGCCGATCCACCATCTGATCAGTGGGCCATGTTCGCGACACCTCCCCAACACCATCGCCACCCTCCGATCGTCCATGCAAAGACACCATCGCCGGAAAAGCCACCAACGACGAATATTGATTCGGGACACGCGACTTCGCAGACGACAGCCGATCCCCAATTTTACGATGGCGATCATGTTGCTGAGGCTTGGCGAAGGTTCTGGAAGGTCATGGAGGGCCGTCGCCGGCCTGGAGGCGTTTGACCGCTTCATCCACCAATTCTGGACGAGGTCGCCGGACTCCAGGGATGAGATCGCTTCTGGTGAGAAGACGAACAGAGGCTTGGAAGGGTTTTACTATTGATATTGAATAATAATAATAATAATAATAATAATAATAATAATAATAATAATAATAATAATATCTCTATCTCTTCTCTATATATATTAAAGCAAAATAAAGGGAGCAAAAAATTCCCGCCCAAACCCAACGACGCCGTTCCATAGATGGCCGAAAATTTATTAGGCTTTGTGTTAAAAAACGTGTTACCTTATCAGTTCCCTAGATTTTAGCCAATCTTTTTTATTTCTAAGCCAATGATATTAAAGCATTCTATTAAACCTATTATACTCTTCAGTTTCCCATACGAAATTTATTTACATAATTAAACCCATTAGCCGGATTCTTTTTTCCAAGATAATTAATTACAACTGATCGTTTGAAACCTTTTGTTAGTAAACGAAAGGGCAGAAATCAGATCTAAAGTCCTATATATACATCACATTCTCTTCAATACAAACACTAACAAGTCTCAATATTCAATACAAACTCTGCCAAGATTAAAGCCCTGCGTATACTGAAGAACAATGCTCATTCTTGCCACTTGGATTTCTCTAATGAACACAAGCATACGACATACCTGACAGTAAAAGCTTCATCGCAAATCAAACAGAAAAAGCTTCATTGCAAATCAAATCTAAATAGGTCGTTTCATGACCAGGAGGTGAGTTTTATGAATAAATACTATTCTACTATTTTGGTATTGAATCGTATACTATATCTCATATTCTAACATATACATGGCACCTTCTTGCACGCACACTGCCTATCACAATCACACCTAAACTGTAGTTGTAACACTGCCTATCACCATCTATAATAATCACCAATGGTCTGTATTCTTATACCAACAAACCGTGACCTTTTGAAGCTGGGGAGATCAAGATTTGTAGTTCCTATGATGCCCCACAACTTCTTTCCAACCACGAAACTCCGGAATTCTTTGAATTCAGAGAAAGGTATATTTTAAATCGTCTATTTGTTAACTAAATTATTTCTAAGTTTTCTAAATTACTCCCTAATCTGTGTTTTTATTTTTTGTCTCACAGTCTATGTCATGAGCACACTCCAAGAGGAGTATTATCTCACAATCAAGCTTTGGGGGTGTATGGAACTTCATGTTGTTTCTGAAGTCTATCAATTGAAGGGGGTAATCTTTCAACTCATTTACAATAAAAAGAGTTTTTTCCCAAAATGGCCCATCGACTATTGCTCATTCTCAATTTTGTATTTTGACTTTCAATTGCACCCAATGTGGTCCCTTGACTTTTAAAAACTACCCCAAATTGGTCCTCCGTTAGGTTTTCTGTCAACTAGGCGTTAAGTTTAGGGGTATTTCGGTCATTTCGTTGTGTTTTGAGGGTTTTTGTTCTCCAGACGATGCAGGAACACCAGACGAAGCCACGACCCCACCAAGAGGTGTCACACTGCCAACGCTTGCAAACAAATTAGGTAACCTGGGATTAATTCCAGTGTTAGGCAAAGCAGATATAGCCGAGAAAGAAGACTGACTAATACCATTAGATGAAATAACACAGTAGTTAATCCTCATAAAACATTGGCATTCTCACGAGCTGCACCAACACTAGAATTAAACACAGAATTGGCCAAAAGATTAGGAACATTTGCAGCAACTAGATCATTTTGTAAACCAAAACCAATTCTATTATTGAGTGTATGTCCACTTTCATTAGGATTGACAGTGGACACATTCAGAGTCTCAATATTAGAATCAGAATTAGTTTCTTGAACATACAAACCCATATATATTGTTACCAAATGTTGGATCAAGAGATTGAATATTTTGGACCTGAGACCCAACACTTAGCATGGCCGCCGAATTAGAAACTTCAGTAGCACTAATGATAGGGAGTCGAATGCTATCAGTAGGGAGAAAAGATGGGTTCACAACACCTCTACTCCCACTGTTAGCATTCGATGAAATAAAATTGAAATCCCTCCTCATTTAATCAAAAACATTAACATCAGCCACGGTTGAAACATCAAGATTTAGCCTTGGTCGAGAGATAGTGATACAGGGAGCAAATATACTCACACTACTAACACCTCCATCCAACGCCAAACCTCGATCAGTAGAATGAATGGTTGGTAATGTATGTCTAATAGAAGTTTGCACATGAGAAACCGCCACATTACCAACAATTAGAGGCGGCAAGCCTTCGTGAACCCGGCATTGGAAACCATCGGTATTATGGGAGCTATGACTAGCCAAGTTCGCATGAACCGGCCGATTAGCAACACCATGAGAGGACAAGCTCGCATTACCCGTACGTGGAGTCTCCAATCTACTATAAACTATCCCAGAAACTTGAGGAATAAAGAACTAACCTTGCACCATAGAGTCAGATGATGAACCTTGGCCAAGATCAGTCTGAACCCGAGAGTATGGAGCCTTGGTTTTGTGACGTCTCCGCCTGCCATCGTCGATGGCTAAACTCTAGACGATGGTGGCTTCCACACCAACAGAGACGACGAGACCACCAGTTGTGGCATTATGCCAGCCGAGACCTGGCCTGCATTGATGTTGACTGCTTTACGACTTGAGAGTTCGCAACAGGTGGGCGATCAACAAATTGGCGATGGCAATCAACATCCCTAGCATCCCTGACTCCAACGGTGGACTCCGATTGCCCATGTAATCAACCTTTGCAATCAGACATAAGTAAGGCATTTGATTTCGGTCCTAAATTAATGCTCACAAATTTTTATAACAGTAGTGACAGCTCCAATTACAAACACGGAAATAATATATCAAGTCCCCAAAGTGAAAATGATAAGTACTGAACAACGCCAACCAACGATTGACGCCAGCCATGAGAGGCCGATAACGGAACGATCACCACCGACATTACGACACGGTCGGCGTTACATAAAGCCAAAGCCAAGGCTAACATAGCCACCACTTTCACTCTCTCCTAAGTAATGAACTCTACGAAGCTGGGCACTCACACTCCCCCTCTGTCTCTGAACGAACCGCCAGCAACCGACCGAGCATCGATCGACGAAGCTTTAATTGCGGTCAATCGGAGATTCCGAGTCGAGAATTCGCGTCTAAGAATACTGTTTAGAGTCAACTCAGCCAAGAACTCAGAGAAGCTTCGGTAGTCCGGTTGGATAAGGCCGACAATAACTTTACGTTTGGGGTTAATTTATGATCGGAAGACAAAAGGAACGATGAACAACGAAGAACAGTTGTGATAGGCAGTAAATGGACAAAAATACCCTCACACTTAACACTCAGTTGACAGAAAACCTAACGGAGGACTAATTTGGGGTAGTTTTTAAAATTCAAGGGACAACATTGGGTGCAATTAAAAGTCGAAATGCAAAATTGAGAATAAGCAATAGTCGAGGGACCATTTTGGGAAAAAACTCCAATAAAAATGAAGCAGATCCACAGCAATAAAGGTTCCAGCAATGGTTTTCTGTTATTAATCTTTTTTAATCTTTAAATCTGTAAGGGATGAAGTCTTGATGTCTACCTATTGTTCAAAGTCAAACCTTAATGATAACCAAGACAAGGATCTTATATCTAGGATGATTGAAGAAGATGATGAAGGAACGGAAGATTCTGCAGAGGTATTAAACATGGATATGCTACTTTAATTGTAGCATATGCAAAACATCTTTTAAAACAGTATATGAAAGTTGACTGCTCTAATTATCTATGGTTTCAGGAAGGCTCTAATTATCTATGAAAGTTGACTGTTATCCATTCCCATATATCATGACTAGGTTTGGAAGAATGTTTTCTAAACTGTGTTTCTGGACCACAGTGGTCGAAAATGGGGTTTTTTCGATGAACAATTTTGCCTAATGGCCTGAAAATATTGAACTATGATTGTTTTCCTTTACAATGGACATTTGTGATATTTTTTGCTCTGCCTTTTTGCAGGAACCATATTTCATTAGCATGTTCACATTTCAATGCCATATCTATGAGGACTTCTTAATTTGGTGACACTTTGACATTGATTTACAAAGCCGTTTATACTCACTGTTATGGGTTTTCTTTTTCCTTTTGCAGGAAAATGACCATAGGTTTGTGCAAATGTAATAAAAAAGAAGTAATGTGTACACAAGAATGGAGGGCAGAATCAGACTACTTTTGCCCTAAGAAGTAGGTTTTTAAGCTTACTATTGTAACAGTTTGATTGGTCTATATGTTTGTGCAAATGTAATAAAAAAAATGTATGGGTTGAAAGAATCTCTATGCTCCCTCTATTAGATCATAGAGATGTCTAATAGAAATACAGATATCAATATCATTTTGATATCTCTAAGATCTTGTGCAAATGTAATAAAATAAATGTATGTATTAGAGCAATATACATTGATAAGTCATCAGAATCAATTGATGAAGCTTGACCTCCTACAACAATTTAACCACTAACTGCTGTGCAAACAAACTCATAACAGATTAAATCAATAATTCAAGCTTCAAAGATCAGTGACCTATAACTATTAAGTAAATAAAAAGTCACATACCTATCAGGAAGTGGAAACTGCAACCCTAGGGCAGGAAAACAGCACTGGTATTGTACGAACTTTATGTTTGACTTGGACACTGAAGCTTCTGTGCACTCATACACTATAGGTAGTCTTACTCAGTATGTATAACACTGCAAAGTTTAAAAAATGACAAGTTAGAAAGTATGTATAACACTGCAGAGTTTAAAAAATGACAAGGCAGAAATATACTTAGCTTTTCATATATTTACTCCATAACAATTGCCGGAGCACATGGAAGCCAATGGAACTATCAGTGGAGGAGAAGCATATACATAGATGGGAAAGTTATACACTTGATTGTATGCATTTTTACTTTCTTTGCTATTTCTGAAGATTGTGCAGGGTGCTGGATGCAGTCTGGCTGAAATTAAGGTTTAAATGAAGAGTTTCACAAGTACATGAAAGACTAAAAGCACATGAAGAGTAGCAATTCATCAAAGTGACAAAACAATAACAAGTATAGTACCTGCAAAGTAAACAAAGAAGGTCTGACCAGCAGTAGTTGCTGCTGCAAAATTTGGGCTGCAGATTTGGTAAAGCTTTGCAGCAGCTTTCACTTTTTCTAGAGCAGAAATTGTTTTTTTTTTCTTGGTAAGAAAGAAAAGCTTATGACATCGGGGAAGATAAAGGAATGGGCACAAGTTAGTATGGTCAAGGCAATGCTATCTGCAAGATTTAAAATTTAAAATAAAAAATAAAAATGGTATTGGCCATATGCCCAACTGGCACATGTAAAAATTCATTAAAGCTGGCAAGTGTATTAACAATTCATTTGGTCAAATGCAAGATGAGGTGCAGAAGAAAACACCGAGATATAATCAACATTAACAAACCTCCATTTTTAATCCATGCAGTAGTGACAGCAATTATATTCCTTAGGAGACATGCAAACAGCCCTGCTGACAACCAACATATTCTCAGAGCATGTACAAAAATAAATAATAAATAAGAGTAAACATTAAAAAACAGTTAAGCAGATCAAAGGAGCAATGAAAATAGCACAAAAATCTGTAATCCAGCAGGATAAATCTCTGTGACAATGCATAGTATTTTATTGTTTAAAGCAACTCAAGCAGCCTAATTAAAGAGAGTTGCATGAAAGGCAAAGGGAAAAAACAAACAAACAAACAAAGGAAGTAGATCCTCATTACTGAAACTCCCAGGTAGTACAATAAAATATGGCATACCTATGAAGGTTGTAAAAGCCAGTATTGCAGCCTCTACAGATGAATTGGTATTTCATTCGCAATATCATGATGGATTATTGGGAAGACCAGTGGCCAATTCTTTGCCTCAAGAACAATACCGGCTGCAAAGCAACAAGGATGTTTGGATTTGTTAGTCATTAAGCAAATAAATAAGAGACCTAGATTAATGCTTTATTATCTTACATTACAATCCTGCAGACATGTTATATAAGATAGAAAATACATGAGAAGAAAAATGGGAACAAGAAAATTGAAATAATGAAGTTGAGGAAATTAAAAAAGGAAATACTGAAATTTATTTAGATCTAACTGATATTAGCAATAAAAGGAGCACAAAGGGGAAAAGAATTCAAATAAGAGGATAGAGAACCTCTTGCAGCAGCATCTTCCTTCCGCTTCAACTCTTGCATAGTATTAATGAACCAAGAAAAAAACCAAGTAAATACTATAATTATCATAAGGTTGGAGAGAATGGAAATTTTCATTAACTCCAGCTGGAGACAAGTTGAAGATAGAATAATGGGATTTAGATACAACGATGTATAATATATCAATTGAAATTTTGACCATGCTGAAACATTTTTTTGCAAAATAACCAAACATTTGAGGTTCATTATATGTACCGTACTGCACTAAACTCCATCTAAGAATATGAGGGAGGCACACAGCTGAGTCTATCAAATGCAGTCTTGGTAGCAGTTTAAAAAAAAAAAAAAAGTAACAGGACAAAATTATATAGGAAGATGGAATTAATTTATAATCCTATCAATAAATACACTTATTTAAATAATTACATTATTTAGTCTAATCTTTAAGTAATACAAGTAATTACAGTATACGAAGATAGCATTAAAAAAAAACCAGTATACGAAGATAAGTTTTTTTTTTTTCAAAGGTAAAGTGTGAAAAGGATTTTTTTTTTTTAACTGTGCAAATGTAAAATATATATATATATATATATATATATATATATATATATATATATATGAACAGATACTACAATGTAATAGAACCAGTAACTTTCAAAATATATATATATATATATATATATATATATATATATATATATATGTATGTATGTATGTATGTATGTATGTATGTATGTATGTATTTTAATTTTGAAAAGTCATTCCTCCGAAGTCCGAACATAATGGCCCTGTTTGGTAAAAAATTGGCCTATAGTCCAATTTTAGCTTATTTGACCACTATTAATTGTTTGATTTAGTGGTTTCTGTTTGAATTAGCTGATTGTATAAGTGTTAATTAGAGTGTATACCACTATTTTAATTGGTAAAATGCCTTTGTTTCTGTTTCTATTTTGCAGTGTTCTGGACTAAACTAGAAGAATCTATCACACGTAACTAATGATAGAATCAATGCACAGAGCATGATTCAACCTATTAGGGAGTGACAGATATGAGCCATGAAGAAAGAAAAATAGTGTAGATTTTTCTGTTACGTTTCCAATTAAGAGGTATATCCTACAGGTATATCCAGTTAGAAAATATAACAGATTTACAGTAACAGGTATATCCTGTAGGTCATGTAATAACACACATGAATCTGTATAGAAATTATGTATACAAATCTTAGTTTTTAGCAAAATGTAATCTACCAAAACATATTGAGAACATATTAAGGAGAGAAATGTATATCAACATCACATCTAGGTGTAAATTAATTAACACTACCAATAAACCTTTTGGATGTTATGTGGACAGTATCATGCATGCTTAGAAATCAGTTTAATTACGAAAATAATCTACTAAATTGATACCAATCTGTATAAAAAAGTAAAAATGAAGTAGATTGAAAACTTAGCTCAAAAGTGAGGGTTTACTGAAACGATTTGAACTCAAGTCACCGATTGCCACTTCTACCATGGTTAGCGCCAAGGTTAGCATATATCTCTTTCCAGAATCGCAAATCGGACAAAGGATTCGCTAAAACCCTAGATTCAGATTCATTTTCCCCAAATTTTTTTGGGGAAAAAAACACTATCGCAAATATAGACCACATAAAAAACCAGATAGAGAACTGTTACACAGCTCAATCGGGAATCGGTAAGCATTTAAAGTAGTCGTGAAAGCTCTGCACTGAAATTGCGACATTACCTGTTTGCATGTCGCAATCCGGTGTTCAAGACTTAGTCATCTTCATAGTGAAGGTGTTTTTAGCCAATCCTTGTCCGATTGAAAGCAAGAACCTAAACATGGCTTTCTCAGAAATGAAAGAACAACAAAAAATAGGATGAAATTACCAGAAATTGCCTCAGATTCCCATATTAACAACAGGATCTGTAACCTCTCTATAGAAAGATAGGGTTTCTTCACCGTGCCATAGTTTAGAGAGGGAGTACAGAACCATTCCTGAGAAGAGAGAGAGAGTAGCTCACGGAAAGATAAGCTGAGGAGCAGAGAGTGAGATAGCGATTAGATTAGGCAACCAAAGTCGTAAAAAAGGCGCACTGAACTGGAGTATCACAGTCAACCAAAACACTAAACCAGATTAGGCAACCAAATTAGGAAATGAAATAGCAAATAACTCACATATTTGTCAACTTAATAATGTTTGTATAATAATATTTATAATTTACTATGATTCTTTGCTCAAACTAATCATAAAATAATTATTAGCCCTCTATAAAATGTAGACATTTATATAACAAGTAGTACCTTACATGAATATAACAAGTAGTACTTATTTTTGTACATGGTCAGTTGTACGTAGCTGCATCTCGGGTTAACAATCCAGATGGTCTCAAAATATTGATAGTAAAAGACTCAAGTTCAACTACTACATCAACCACTAATGTTGTATATCATGAAGTTTTCAATAATTTGTAATTTTGTAAACTTTTCTTTTTTTAGTACCATATCATTAATTGCAACTATTTGTAATATACCATTTACATATTGTTTTTGTTGAATTCCTAAACATATTTCATTTATATGTTATAAATTATAACGCATTAGTTCATACAATGTATAACATAACATCCACACAATTAATACTTTTTAATTTACATACCGTGCATCGCACGGGACAAATACTAGTAATAATAATAATAATAATAATAATAATAATAATAATAATAATTATTATTATTATTATTATTATTATTATTATTATTATTATTATTATTATTATTATTATTATTATTATTATTATTATTATTATAAGGGTAGTTATGTCTTTTACACATATATTCTATTTCTATTCCTTCAACAAACCAAACATGAAAATAACATTCATAAATCTATTCCTTCACCGAACCAAACAATAGAATACAATTTTTATTCTATTCCGTACCTATTCTATTCCCTACGAAATACTATTCCTATTCCCCCAAAATTCATTCCGCAAACCAAACGTGCGGTAAATGATAGAGCAGAACGGGGGTTCATTCATCGACTGAATAGTTTCATACAAATATATATATATAATAGAGTTAATACCCAAAATAGTCCCTCGACTATGTCGTAATTACCAATTTGGTCCTCGACTATCATTCTTACCCAATTAAGTCCTCAACTATATAATTTTTACCCAATTTAGTCCTTTGTCAATTTGACTGTTTGTTGACTGTCAAAAGTGGAAATAAAGTTGTAATTTTACAAGTTTTCTCCTTCCTCCTCATTTAGGAGCGCCAAACCATGTAGCAATAAGCTCCGGTTGGGTTCTAAACCTGTCAGTATCGAAGTAGTGGTTATGCATCGGATAGCCAATGAATTTGATTTCCAACGATTTTTTGACGATCGAAATCTGATCGGAGTGTATTGCTGCATGATTTGGCGCTGCTAAATGGAGAGGAAGGAGAAATCTTGTAAAATTATAATTTTATCCTGACTTTTGACAGTCAACAAACAGTCAAATTAATACAGAGGACTAAATTGGGTAAGAATTGTATAGTTGAGGACTTAATTGAGTAAAAGTTACATAGTTGAGGACTTAATTAGGTAATAATGATAGTTGAGGACCAAATTGGTAATTATGGCATAATCGAGGGACCATTTTGGGTATTAACTCTATATAATATATCCCTAAATAATAGGAAATAACTAACCACTAAGCTAAAATAATAGCCATACACCAGAATAATTATAACATATACAATTTTTTTCTCAAAGTTGAATGGGGTATCATGGATACCCAATTGGAAGCCCATGATTATGGAGGGCAAATTATTGTATGGATCATGATCCATATAATGTTACGTGGACCATAATAAAATGTACATTTTTAATATATTGAATGTACATTATTTTTGTAATGAATGTACATTATACAATATAATGTACACTTCAAACAAAAATAATGTACTTTCCCTGAATATAATGTACATCGTTTTTGTACTGAATGTACATTATTTTTGTACTAAATGTACATTATTTTACAGTAGACAAAATATGGTCCACACAACTTGTATGGACCATGGTCCATATAATAATGATTGATTATGGAGGCCTAAAATGGGTTAAGCCCATGTCTTGCCAGAATTGGACACCCAATATATATAACTAAGAAGTTGTGTCGTAGTACTGCCATCGGTAATTTATATGTGGACTAAGGTCCACAGTGTCAAATACACATAATTTGACTTTATAATGTACATAATTCATATTTATAATGGGCATAATTTATGTTCACAATACCCTTACATATAAACAAGAAATAATGAAGCCTTATAAACACTTAATATAATACACAAAATTCATATTCATAATATTCAGAATTCATGTTCATAATGCACAGAATTCATGTTCATTATATTATGTGTATATATATGTGTATTATTAAACATAAATTCTATACATTATGAAGTCAAATTATGTGTATTGAATCAGAGTCCACAATACACTATGGACCCTTATTGACTATATAACGATTGACTGCCATCAGTACCATGTTCTCCCCCATCACTCCCACTTGTCTCATGAAAAAACAAAATCTCAATAAAATAACAGTCTAATTAAAAGATTTCTTTATAGATTGTAAATTCCTATGGCCATGATGGCATCCCATGTTAATGTCAATGCCGTTCCTTTTAAAACAAATAATAATAAATAAATAAATAAAATTGTACTGCGGTAGCCGATAAGAAAAAAGAGGAAAATGATATCTACGCACTGAGACATTTCATTATTTTATGCAATTATAATAATACCCACAGAGATCTCTAGAGATTCCAATTAGATCCCAATTGCAAAAAAACAAAAAAAAAATGAAAAATGTTTTGTTTCTCAGAGTTTGAGGTGGTAATATATGGAGGAGTGTGATAGTCAAATATAGAGAGAGAGAAAGAGAGAGAGAGAGGGGCAGAATGGGGATGGAGAGTGCAATTCCATTTTTAGCCATGGTGGTGACGAAGCTAGCACAGGTGGGACTAATGGTTGCAGCTGAAGCAGCCATGGCTACTGGGATGACTGCTTTCACCTTCATCACTTACTCAAATCTTCTTGCTTGCCTCATTCTTATTCCATCTTCTCTTTTAATGAACAGGTATGTTATTATTTGATGTCGATACTATTGAACAGACACTACTTCTAGTAAATACTAAGTTTCACTGGTAGGATTCCTTATTGGCTCCACAAGTGATTATGGTACGGTCGGACCAAATCTCCGTTCATGAGTTAACTTTTGTAGTGGAATTAATGTCTTAGTTTGAGTGCTGTATCATTTGGCTGGTGCTTTCATTGAGAAGCCAGAGTGTGATGGGAAAGGGCTACCTAGGAGAGAGTTACCCGCTACTTGATATATAAGATTCAAAGGGAACCGAGAAGAGTTTAGAGTATGAACTGTCTAGAGTAAGTTGGTGTGGACCTTGGCTTCTCAAGGGGTGGACATTGATATGATCTCACATTGGGTCTACGAGATTGTAGAGTGGTACTTAAGCTGCAGTGAAACCTTCACTCATAAACTAACTTTTGTGGTGGAGTTAGGGTCTTGGCTTGAATGCCTTTGATGCTTTCATTGAGAGGTCGAATTATGGTGGGAAATGGCTAGTCGGTGCTTGATAAGGTTCAAAGGGAAATGAGAAGAGTTCAGAGTAAGCCGCTGCGTAAGTCAACTTCTCAAGGGGTGGGCAATGATACGATCTCACATTGGCTCCATTGGAGATTGTGGATTGGTACTTAAGTGAAGCCAAACTTTCGCTCATGTGCTAACTTTTGTAGTCGATCAGAGTTAGGGTCTTAGCTTGAGTGCTGAATTACTTGCACTAAAATTATTTTTTTATTTCTTCTTTAATTTTGCTTTTATTGTTCAATGTAGATCGTCACATCCCCCGCTATTGCCTACATTCGTGTGTGGGTTTTTCTTGCTTGGCCTAATTGGGTATGTGTAACATATGCATTATTTTTAATTTCTTCTATTTATAAACTTTTAGGGATTTAATTATTTTAAATTCCTTAAGCTTTACTAATTCTTGAAAAAAATGTTGATTTTTTTTTTCTTCAGATTTTTTATACAATCAATTGGATATATGGGGCTGCAGTACTCCTCTCCATTGCTGGCTTCATCCCTGCTCAATCTCAGTCCTGGTTTCACCTTCATTCTAGCCATCATTCTCAGGTTAATTACAACTATTTTTCATTACACCTCTTACATAAATTAACATTACAAGAAAAATCAAATTTATCTAAAGAAAAATTCATAGGTATTTAATGAGTTAATACCCAAAATGGTCATCGACTATAGTGGTTGATTTCAATTTCGTCCTAAACGACTTTGGTGACCTAATGTAGTCCCAGATTTTTGTGTTTTTGCCAATTTAGTTCTCACTTTGGTATTTCGTCAAATTGGTGTTAAATAAAAGGGACAATTCAGTAATTTCAATATTGACCTCTCTATACTCTCAGTCCTGCAAAGTGCGAAATCTCTCTTTCTGTTACAAATTACTCCTAGACCTGCTAATCAAATTTTATATTCGCAAGTTTGTGAGTAATTCGTAAAATTAAGAAAGGGGGACTTTGCACTTTGCATGCATATCTAAGAGTAAAGAGATGCCAATATTGAAATTACTGAATTGTTCCTCTATTTAACACCAAATGGACGGAATAACAAACGAATGACTAAATTGAGAAAAACACAAAAGTATGAGACTACATTAGGTCACCAAAGTCGTTTAGGACGAAATTGAAAAAAAAAAAAAAACATTATAGTTGTGGACCATTTTAAATATTAACTCGGTATTTAATTTACCAATGAATTTCTCTAGACAGATCATTAAAATCTGTTGACATTTGTTGTTGAGCATATAATATATAAACATAATATGTAATCCACCTATTAATTTAGATTTCTAATTGAGATAAAAAACTTTTCAATTTGGTATCAAAGCTATGTAATTTATCTACTAATTTAAATTTTTAATTGAGATGAAACCCTTTTTATTAGAATCTCTACTCAATCCGATAAAAAAGTTTCTTGTACTGTAATAGGTTTCGTAAAAGTTAATGTATTATATTATTTTGGTTTTCAGGATGGAAAATTTCAAATGTGGAAGTTTTACCACACTGGCTAAGTTAGTGGGGACTGTGGTCTCAATAATTGGTGCTCTTATTGCAACTCTTTATAAAGGACCGCCAATTGTGACAGCCCCCTTTCAGTCATCAACCTTAATTCTTAATAATGTTCTCAACCAATCTTCTACTTGGGTACTAGGAGGCTTTCTTATGACAATTGATACTATGATAGCTTCTATATTCATCATCGCGCAGGTAGAGATGTCAATGAGACGAGTACTTTTTTTTTTTTTTTTTTTGAGTTTAAATTGTATAAAGTAAATTATAGTATCCTTGTTTCTATTTGTTTAGGCATTTGTGTTGAAGAAATACCCTGCAGAGTTGATTCTAATGTTGTTTTATAGTTGTTGTGTGGCCATTTTATGCGCTGCGGTCGCTTTGATTATAGAAAGGGACCTTAGCGCTTGGAGCTTAAGCAATCGGACGAGACTCTTTGCTATTTTGTACTCGGTAAGTAGATAAAATACCATTCACCTAATCGGGATATAGTTGAACAATCGACTGTAACTATAATGTTGGAGGATCAACTCTTGTATGTGTGCACCATATTTAATTATGAGCTTTACTAGGCTAGGTCTTATCTCAATAAGAGCATCAATCTCCAAAAGTTGAGTTTTTTGGAGAGTTTTTCAAAACCACGTAGGAAAGAGAGTGAAGAAAGAGAGAAGAGGGAAAAAAGCAAAAAATAATAATAATAATAATAATAATAATAATAATAAAAGTTTATATGCTTTTATACTTGTCTAGTGGCATGCGCTAGTTGGGTGAGGGTGAGTCAGTTTTGTTTTGTTTTGTTTTTTTTTTTTTTTTTTTTTTTTTTTTTTTTGGTAACAGTAGGCCTCACAAAAAACTAACATTTGCAGGAATATAAATTTATTCTCTCTCCTTCTTCACATAAGACTAAATGTAAATAAATAAATAAAATAAAATCACCAAAAATGCATTGTTGGGATGTTCTAAGAATCAAACTCTATTAGTGCTACTCAAGTCAAATACAAATTAGTCTTACCGTGGTCGAATTTTAAGTGTTTTACATTCATATTGATTTTAGATGGTCTAGCTAGCTTAGCTAGGACCAATAACATGGTACAAGAAGTAGGACTATTATTAAAAGACATTTAACATTGGTTAGTCCTAAGTAATAGATTAAAGTAAGCTGTGAAAGAGAAGCAAATGAACCCATGAAACTGATGACTGTCTGAAAAATAATGCAGGGTTTTTTTGGCAATGTTTTCCAAGTGACTATATGCTCTTGGTGTGTAAGGAGGAAAGGACCTGTTTTTGTTGGCATGTTTGAGCCCCTGGGTGTTGTGATCTCCATGGTTATTGGTGTGCTCTTCTTGGGGGAAACTTTCTATTTAGGAAGGTATGTAATTGCTATTTTCCACGCAAATTTAAAAAGAGTAAGTCCTCTGTGAGACTGTCACACGTGAAGCATATAATACTTTATAATTAAAATGTATATAACCAGTATATGATGTTGGTGATAATGAACCAAAATCAATTTAATATCCCTAAAATAATATTTATATATACACACGAAAATATATATAAAATATTATTGGATATAATATCCGAAATATATATATACACACAAATATATATATAAAACGGATTCAAAGGTTATATATACATATATATCTATGAGAAGATATACCAATATATATCAACCAAAATGGAACTTATAATCCTCAGATTATAACTCCAATCAACAAGAAAGTAGAAGGATTTTTGTTTAGAGCATAATCCAAAACAAGAAAGAATGAGAATGAAGAAAGAAGAAAGTACGAGTTAGACGAGGTGCCTTTCTTTCCTTAAAACCTTACCTCGTTTGGGTACTCAAACGTCGAACCGTTTGAGTGCATTTCTTTCCTTAAAACCTTATTTGCCACTTTTGAAACAGCAAGGCCATTATGTTGAGATTTAATTCAAAATCAGAATTGGAATTGAGATTTAATTCAAAATCAGAATTGGAATTAATACAAAAATTAATTCCGTAACGAATGAATTAAATCTCCAATAGTCAAATCGTTGGCTCAACTTAGCCCCTGCAAGGCCAGTCGTACCCGCACACACGAGCTCGAGCTTAAATCAAGCCTTTTCAATCTCGTTTCTAGTTGGAATTTGATTTACACCTCCCCTCCCCACCCCCGCACGAGAGAGCCTCTATGTTATACAATTCTACAAGCTCCAAAAGAGCTCTTGCATGTATAAAAGGGGGGCAAATCCTCTTTCCAAACCAATGTGGGACAAAGCTCACTTTTTCCCTTCATTTTTCCAACTCAATGGGTCTACTTTGAGAATCAATATCTCATTCACCCATTATCCATTTTGAGCGTACAATATATCAATCTCTTCGTCTCACTACGAAGAATCCGAATCCACTTTGACCCGACCCAAATCATAAGTGGACCCCACTGATAATTGTACCACAAAATAACCACTTAACATGTTATTTTATGCCATTTTAATGCTATTTTTCCAACATATGAAAAGTCCTTGTTTCTACCAGAGAGGGTTGTAACGTAACCGCGCTATACTAGCACAATCTGATTGGAGTAGTATAGTGGAAAGGCCTCGTGCTCTAAGACACGAGAGAGCCTCCCTACATGCCATGACTTCAGCCATATGCGAGTCTAGTGCTCCACTGATCTTACCGTTCTTGGCTGCAATGAACTATCCTTGGTTTGATAGTAGAACCGCCCCATATGATGATGAAGTGTTATGCGGGAAGATAAGTGCATATTTGTTCATATTCATACCATATATATACCCCATTCTTAGGCTTATTTTGCTTACTCTCTCCGTCTTGATCGTTTTATGTGTGGGGTTCTATTAACGAGGTTTGATTGGAGTTATTTACAATTTAATTTTTCATAATATAATTAAGTTTAGTAGTATATAAAATTTATTTATTTAGAGACTACATTACAAGTACTATTAAACACAAAATAATAAATTTAAAAATTATAAGTAAATAAGCAAACAAGAAAAAGTTAGTTTAATTGACTAATGAATAGTTAGTAGGACAGATAAAATAAGATAGAGACCGCCGAAAGTATTTGTTTTTTTTTATGAATTCATAGGAAAGTATTATATATATTTCAGTTAAAAAAATATTATACGTTTCATATGAGACGGTCTTACACAAGATTTATTTAGTTGTAATTTAATTTGTTACTAAGTTCTAAATTGCTGTGAATTTATTTATTTTATTTTTTTGCAGTTTGGTGGGATCAATAATTGTGGTTGTGGGGTTTTACTTTGTGATTTGGGGGAAAGCCAGAGATGGAAAGATGATTGAGAGAAATGGAGTTGATAATGGGTCTGAGTCAGCCACCAAAAATATTCCACTCTTGCAAGATAATGATGATGATGTTGAGAATAATAGAGAAACCACCTCAGTTCAATCATTGTAGAAGATGGTACCTGCAAATTTAATTTGTAAAAACAATTCAATTAAATCTTAGAATGCGCTAAACACCTTGTGTTTAGATGGTATGTAGTGACTTCTCTCATGTAGAAAATCATGAGATTAAGCATCAGTGGAGGTATTGTTGACTTTGTGTGCTTCATTTGGTTTGAAAAAGTATGTTTGAATAGATACTACAATTTAATAGACTTAGTAACAATGATTCTAACTAGGTAAACTCCACATTATTAATATATCTTGGTTCCTTTATTTTATTGTGTTTTTTTGTGTCTACCACAGAGCTTAACACATATAATTAATTTGTTTATCGAATTTAACAATTATTTTATACTTGCTCATAATATTTATTCTATCTACATCTACAATCTACAATTTTAATAAGAGCCAATAATGTTAGGCCCTTAACTGGAATAAAAAAAAATGTCGGTATTTTAAAATTAATGGTTAATATTATTTTGATTTTAGTAATTTTTAATGATTTTCCTTATTTACCTTCTATTACATTATTTTCTTCCCTAAAATAACTCTAAATTCCGTTAGTATAAACTTTAATAACGGAATATTCCGTTAACTATTTATTATTCTTAATATACTCATTAATTTATATAAGAAAAGTCTTAAGTTCGAACCACATCCCAATTAGAGTTGGCATAATTGTTAAACATATATTATGAATATGTTAAAATGTATTAAAAATATATATATAATATAAAATTTAACATAAACTTTGGTCAAATAATTAGTCCGAATAAATACATAGCATTCAAAGTTGAGCATCAAAGATTATAAATCGGAAACTTTAAAAATCATTTGGTTTTCTTGATTTTTTTTTTTTTTAAAATAAATTTAGGTTACGTTTTTTTTTTTTTTTTAATGTTTACTTAATATTCTTTTGATTATTTAGAACAGACTTAATATTTCAATTATGCTTTTTTATTATTCGAATGATTTAGATAATTATGGTATTAATATTTTTTGTATTTTTTTATAGTGGTACAATTGTACATTACTTTACAAATATTATACAATTATTTTTTTATCGGACAAAATTGTTCTTACATCATTATTGTCCATATTACAACTAAAATCTCAGTCATATACGCAGCAATGCAAATCTAAAGCTTCCTACACCATAATCTCATTGCATGATGAATCTCTCTATGCTGCCACCAGTAACCTAATGGCACATGACACACTACCAACAAAAAATAAAAAAAGAAAAGACATGTACTGAAGATGAAAACAATGACAATGTTACCCAAAAGAGAATTACTAATAATTAGAGAAATTTAAACTAAAAATAGTATTTATTTAGACTATCGCTTTAAGACTAAGTATTTAGACTAGAGTTACTACAATGTTGCAAACATTTATTTTAGTGACAATTATAATCAATCCCTCATATATTATCTTCAATTTATATACTTTAAATTACCGATTTAAATAAACAAATTTAACATTTATTTACCTATGCATAAACATCTCCTATATAATATTGCATTGATATACTTTGAAATACTTATTTAAAAATAATCATTGGGCATTATCCCATTCGTGCAAAGCGCATAAAAAAACTAGTATGTTAATAAATCTAAATCTTACTGTACATAAACACTAAATTACTAGTACATCACATTTATTTCAATTCAGTTTGTAGTAAGTTCATAATATTAATAAAAATAAAATTTAATGTATATAAAATTACATTACATATGCATCATGTTATAATAACACTACGTTCATAATATTTGTTCTATATGATCATACACCTAAACTTAATGTATATAAATGAAATTGTACTGTGAGTCTTGAATGCAAGCTAATACTTATAGTTCTACTTGGTTTTAATTAAAGAATTAACGTACCATTAATTATGTTAATTTTTGAATTAACAAAAACAAATTAAAGGTAAGAAAGTAGAATCAGGAATATAGTAATTGTTCACGCAGTTCGGAGCAAAACTTCCTACGTCTGTGGGGCAACTCACGTCAGCCCAATCCACTAGATGTTCATCAAGATTACAAGGGAGTTTGTATACAAAAGTCCTTAGTCACAACAACCAACTTTAATCTTCTCAACATCTAATTTAGGAAAGGTGTATGCATGCCGATTTCTGCTTCAGGCGTTGATACTGCTGACCCAGCTTCCGGGAGTCTAATCCAATGAGATCATCACTTCAAAATAATATAATAAACTGATAAAAGTGTTTTAATATAAAGACAATAATCCTCTGAATGTTATTCAGAAATCCGTGAAGTGAAATGATAGAAAATCCTCCTTTTTATATTCAATTTCATGTAAATATCTTTCCCCAAAGTGTGATGACCACAACTTACTGATAAATGACATCCACTTAATTTAAATAATGCCGATTAATAATTTTGACCAGCTGAAATTAGTAAGAAGATCACTAATGATATTTGCTAAATCCAGAAGCTATGCCAGAGACTGATATTATAACTTGATAGGAGTCGATCCAAACATTATAACTAAATTAAATTCTAACATTTTAACAAATAAATTAGTCAATTTATAATAAAATTTAACGTGTATCATTTGTACACTTACAATAATTAAACATCAAACTATGAGTACATTATATATCTATTTTTATAAGACTCATAATATTCTTTCCATATATTCATAAAAACAAAACTTAATGTACATAAATATTACTACTTTAAAGTAATGACTTTATATATACCTAAAGATTTATTTTAATTTTTTTTAATCCCCATGTATATTCATTTACAACAAGTCTAACCTCATATTCATGGAACTAAAGTTGATATTAATTTTATTTCAAATCTTTTAAGTGGTAACTACCAAAAAAATAAATAAATAAATAAATAAAAATAAAAAAAATAAAAAATTAATACTCTGGTAGAGAGTAGACCTATATGGAAACATTAAAATATTTTAGGAAAGTTTTATACACTATCCCCTTTATTAGGGGGCAAAAGAGGCACTTTCTCATTGCTATTGTCTATATTGGTTTCAATGTTTTCTTTCACTTCCATTGCCTTCCCCCACATCACGGTATAGAATCCCAGAGCTATAATGCTTGCTCCTATCACACTGCATATATTCCAAATATATATGTACATGATTTAGTGAAAAAGAAGTAATACTCCGTAATAAATTATGCAAAAAAAAAAAAAAAAAAAAAAAAAAAAACCATAACATAACACCTTGATTTAATGGTGGAAAATAAAAGAAAAATAAAAAGAATAGTGCTATTTTCGTAATATTATAGTGCATTGAACAATTTTTAGTAGTGCATCCGCTAATAAATGTATGTAGTATGTATGCGTTTTGAAAATGTGATACTTAAGCATGCGTTTTGGAAAGCAACAAATATGCTGATTTCCTTGCTAACCTCGGTCAGACTAAGGATGGTCGCAAACCAGTTTTAGAGTAAGGGTTGTTGGATCTTCTTTTAGTTGATGCTAGAGTCAGATAGTACCCGCTTGGTACGGTGTAGGGCAGATACACAAAAAACATGTAGTATATATGTATGCCTAGATGGAGAAAATATACCACTTGAATGTGGGAATGGAGTGGTGCGAGGGTCAGTGTGAGACATCACGTTTGAAGGTGATGAATATAACCCCACATACTTTTCACCAGTAAGGCAGTAACCATTCCTAATCTTATATTGTGTTTTCCAATAAAAAATAACCTATTTAATTAAAGTATGTGAAAATTGTGACAATAATGTTACTAAAAAGATAAGGAGCTAACCTTCCAGTATAAAGATCATCTCTAAGAAAAGTCACCCCCATGATAACAGCAGCCACCATTCCCAGAGGAATGAACATTGCAACAAAAACCGGTCCCTTCTTCCTCACAGCCCACGCATACACAACACTCCGAAACCCAACCATTATAATTGCCTGCATGCCATTATCACTTCAAGTTAATCAATCTAAGTAACACACAAAAGTATAAGAAATGCTAACAACGATGTTGATGGTCCTATAGTATGTTTGTTTATGTCGAATATATATATTATATATATTTAGTAAAATCTATATGGTGTCAATCGACACCTTAAAATTCTTAACAAATTAAAATCATATATACTACTATTAGGCGGAGGGAGGTAAAGGGTCAAGTCCAGCACCAGCTGATGACGCTTAAGGGGTTTGTCGGGCTGAAGCTGAAGGGTCAAGTCCAACACCATGCCTCTCGAAAATGTCCGGTATAAGAAAATAAAGTTGCTCGATCGTATGCTACAAGTTATAGCTTTTGGCGGTGCAATGTTAAACACTTGATCCTAACAATTGGTATCAGAGCCAGATTAAGGGTTCGAGTCATCATGACAGATGTTGGAAGGGGGAATTGTTGTTCAGACTAGTGAAAGGTCAAGTCCAACACATTGTTGGGCAAAGACCTGAAGGGCCAAGTCCAACACCATAGTTCTCGAAAATGTGACAGTATATGAAAAATAAAGTTACGCCTTCGCTACGAGTTATAATCTTTGACATAATAATAAGCACTTGATCCTAACAGATACTCACGTTGTAACAAATAGCTATCAACTCCATATCTGGTCTTAGCTTCCAAGCATTTACATTCCTTTCAGCAATCATGGCAGCTATAGCTGATAGTATAGTGACAAGGGCACAAGTGATTACGGTTAACATTAACTCCCCGGGGTAGTCCTTCAAGATCCATGCCTGATATGTTCAAAAACATAACACTTCAACTACAAATTAAGCAACTATTAGAAAATTCACATTTGTTACACATTATGCAAGTAAGACCTCTCATTTAATTTTTTTGCAATGTAATTCCAGATTTCTTTAATAAGTTATCGATTTCGTCACTCCTAGTAGTAAAGGTGTCAATGCGGGTTAACTTACCCCATCACAAGTTATAATTTTTGTGGGCCGATTAGTGAAGCTTGCGAGCTAGAATTCTTTAATCCTAGCCCGCCTCATGCGAGCTCCCGAGCCAATTTTAAAAGTTAAAAAATTTATTATTATAAAATATTATTCTATATTCTAATAATTTAACCTAAATAATATTAGATTTTTTTTTTGTGTTTAGAAATTAAAATATTTTAGATTTTAATTTGTTTAATGTTTAGTAATATATACACACACACCAGGCATCAACTAAAAGAGTAGTTATGCTGTGCATCCGTATGCACCATGCATGCTGCATACGGATGCAAAAACGACGTCGTTTTAGTAAAAACGCGCGTCTCCTCTTTAAAAAAAAATTTAGGTTCGACTCCCAGCAACAACATTATGTTGTTCATTCATTCTAGAATTTTAATTCATAGATTATGAAATTATAGTTCATCGATTCGGGAATGGTAGTTCATCGATTCTGAAATTGTAGTTCATCGATTCTGAAATTTTAGTTCAAAGATTCTGAAATTTTAGTTCATTCATTCTGGAATTTATAGTTCATAGATCAAATTCTGAAATTTTAGTTCATAGATTCTGGAATTATAGTTCATCGATTATGAAATTATAGTTCATCGATTCTGAAATTTTAGTTCATATGTTGTTGGTGGGAATCGAACCTGATTTTTTTTTTAAGGGGAGACACGCGTTTTTAATAAAACGATGTCATTTTTGCGTCCGTATGCACCATGTGCATACGGATGCACAGCATAATTTGCCCAAATCAAAACCACCAACTCACATATGCCAAGCCCGTGAGCCCATATTTTTACAAGAAAATTTTTTTAGACCCTAATCCGCCTAACTGCTAGACGATTTAAAACAGATCCGGGAGTTTCGGCCCATTTTGACATTCCAACTAGTAAGAAAATTGTTGGAAGATCAGACTTTTTTTCATGGCAAATTATACCGTGCACAGGGCACACAATGCATTGTACATCATGGCCCAAAACGATATCATTTTGTATCTTTCTTTTTCGCGTGTTTGCTAACTCTTTAAAAAAATTCATATTTCGAATGTACAGAATTGTATAATAGAAAACACAAAATTATATACCTGAAAACACAGAATATTTATAACTCAAAATCCCCATGTTTCGAATGTACAGAATTATATAATAGAAAACACAGAATTTTATACCTGAAAACACATCATGTTTCGAATGTATAGAATTATATAATAGAAAACACAGAATTTTATACCAGAAAATACATAATTTTATTTAAAATGATAAAAATCCCCTGTTCCGAATGTACAAAATTTTATACCTAAAAACACATAATTTTATATCTAAAAACACAGAATTTTATAATTGAATACACATACATTTTCGTCGTGTTAATTCCCATACAACATAACAAAACGATGTCATTTTGGGAGACACGGTATAACGATTGCTTTTTCATAGTTTCTCATTTCTTTCCTAAATTTCTCTTCATACATGACCTATTTGAGTTTCGTTTTTTTTTTCCCCTTAAACCCAAAATGATGAGATTCTCCCAAAAAATCACTTATTTTATTCCTCAATTTATAAATAATCCTGGTTTCACATCTTATTACTAGAAAATATATTTTTAAATAGTAGTAATTTTCTTGAATGGATGAAAATTGAAGGAGGATATGAGAAATTGTGAAAAGATCCACAAAAACCACTACGTCTACCCCACTCATTTTCTTATGCCGCTACATTTTTTATAGACAGGGTGCTGGATTTGGCACTTCTAGCCTCCACTTGGCAATCTTTTTAACCACCTGGTGGCTGGTAATGGACTTGGCCTTTCACCAACCCAACGACCTCCGTCCAACACTACCAAAAAGACTAAATTAACAATTTGCTAATAAGAGAGGTCTTACATTGCATAAGGTAATATAATTTCTGAATGACCAAAAACACAATTTTCTCTATACACCGTGATAAAAGAACTATTCCGACAAGGATTTACCTGGACAAGGAACAACATCGAGATGAAGAGGCTAGAAGTGACGAGGATAAAGCTTCCGAGGATCCAGTTTGATTGCTGGGGGAGTAGAGAGTTATAATATGCGTGTTGAAACAGCAATAATGGAGGGCCCTTATAGAAGGTAATCACAAAAGCCCCTGTGATCAAAACGATCGTCCCAATAGACTTGGCTAAGCTACTCCGTTCCTTCAATGATAATATTTCCATCCTAATCATCAATTAAACATCAATCACCCCAAATTATTCTGTGGACCCGGATTTAACGTTCACAATTTACCTTTTAAAAATTCAGAATTTGAATACCACGAATACATAATGTTAACATATATGTAGAGGCGGAGCCAAGATTTAAGAATGCGAGGGGGCCAATCACGATAATTGTCAAAAAAGCAAAACAATTACTGCAATCACACAATATTAACATACCCTGTATTGTATTCACAAATTCCCTTCTAAAGTTGTTATATATTTTGACTTAGAAACACAATTTATATTTTAGAAGTTCACAATTCTAATACTAAAAAATATAAATTTTTACGTCATTTAAGAGCAAAGTCCACCTTGCAAAGTGGACCTCCTGATCCATGGTATAACAACTCATCAATCACCATTAATATCTTTGAATACTTTCATTGCAACTCATATTACAATTTGCTTTTATGTGTAAGCCCAAAAATTGAAGCCTGGTACAAATCAATTAGCTTGAAATTGACAGGCCCTATGGGTCAATAGCCTAAGCTGTTCAAGATTAGGTACTCCGTACTATTTGTTATATAAGTGATGTAGAATAAAATATACATGTGAGATTGTGTGTAATCTCCTCTTTAGTATTGTTTTCTTGACTTAAACAATATAGTATGTTGTTAACTTTATAAGTTCAAAACCGAAAATTAAAGCCCAATAAGTCAATAGAGCTGACCTGAAACCAGGGCCGGATTTTAGGCTGTGCAAGCTGGGCTACCGCACAGGGCCCCCAATTTTAGAGGGGCCCCAAATTTTAGAGGTTCAATATTTAATTTTTACACAGTTAGTTTCGAAATAAAAATTAAAAGTTTTCAATTGAATATAAAAGGTTTTATGAAGAGGTGGTGAGAATATGTATTTATTGTATTTTAACTTGTAGGTCAAAGGTTCGAAACTTACATGTATTGGTTTTCAAAATTGTAATTTTGTAGGGCCACATTTATTTACTAGAACAGGGCCACAAAAACTTAAAATACGGCCCTGCCTGAAACCAAGTGGCTAGTTCAATTGACATCTCATGTGTAGTAGACAATTTATGCCGTTTTAAAGCTGGTTAATTAGTGCTAATTTTTACTATTTTTATGTACATATTAGACATAAAAATCGTATGATTTTGTGTTAATTAGAAGCTAAATATATGCTTATTTGATTCTTGATTCTTTAGTCCATTAAGGTGATTTGGAAGCATTATATTGATTGTAAAATCATATAAATTGAAATTCAATTGAATGTGTTTTAAAGTCATATTGGTACAAAGAGTGTGTTCGAAGAGTCATGGAAGATCAAGAAAATAAAAAAGAGCGAGTCAGAAGTACCATGACATGACCTTAGGCCTCAAAAGAACCAAGAAAATGCAGAAAAATACAATTTGAAGTGATTATCAAGACTCACGATGTGACATGACCTTAGGCCTCAAAAGAACAAAGAAAATGCAGAAAAATACATTTTGAAATGATTATCAAGACTCACGCTGACATCGTGAGTATCAGCGTGGCACATTATGCTCTGTTTTTCATCTTGAGGAGAGATTCACTTTTATGAATTAGAGAGAGATTCACTTTCTCATCGTGTGAGAGCGTTATTATTGTTTTATTATTATTATTATTATTATTATTATTATTATTATTATTATTATTATTATTCCGATAGTCGGGCTGGCATTGATTTTTTGGGCTGAAAATTTTAAAAAAGTATAAAATAGATATTATATACCTTGTAAAGAATCATGAATGTTTCTAAAAAAATCATAGTCTCTCAAATTGCAAACAATTATCAATCATGTTCTCTCAAATTTAATAGTTGAAATAGTTGTAACGCAATAAAAAAAATTATATTAAAATTAAACATTTTCAATATTATGTATACACTTATCGTATGGAGAGAAATATTTACCCGGCGACGACCGCAAATATGAATGTGAAGGCGGGAATAAGGTCAGCCATTGCGGATGCCAAAGTTGGAGAGCTATACTCGATGCCTATGTATTGCAAAGTTTGGCCAGCATAGCTGAGACCAAAAAATATATAAGGTCAGGAATACATGAAAATTAGGTTCTATGTGCAAACGGCACAATTCAATAGTAGTGATTATTACACAATCATACATTACAAGTTATATAATCATATAATCATATGTATGTTCAAATTAATTAAGAAACTTCCACCGTGTTTTTTTATTTGGAAAATACTTTATAGTATGTTTCGATAGTTTTTTAAGAGCACAATCAGTTATTACAAATTACACAATCAGGTAATAATAGTTACACAATCTAACATTACAGATTGCACAAAGTAGTTCACACATTCTTAACATTCTTATGTCCATTTTATATGGAGTTAATTACCAAAATGGTCCCTCGACTATAGCGAAATTATCAATTTGGTCCTTGACTATTTTTCTTGACCAATTGAGTCCCTCAACTTTAAAAATTTTAATCAATTTAGTCGTCCGTTTGTTTTGCCATTAGACATCCGTTAACTCAGGACCAAATTGATAATTTCTCTATAGTCAAGGGACCATTTCAGTAACTAACTTTTAGAGAAAATGGTGCAAATGATGATCAAAATGGTGCCAAGTTAACGGATGTCTAACGGCAAAATAAACGGATGACCAAATTGGTTAAGATTTTTAAAATTGAGGGACTTAATTGGTCAAGAAAAATAGTCAATGACTAAATTAATAACTTCGCTATAGTCAAGAGACCATTTCGGTAATTAACTCAATTTTATATGTCTTATTTCCTATTTATTAGTCAAACTAACTATTTCTATTTTGCTTGTTGTCATTAGTATTTAGTTATAATATTTAATTTTTGTTTTTTTTTTGTTTTGTTTTGTTTTTTGTGTGTGTGTGTGTGTGTTCAATAATACTTTTAATGTAGTTTCTAAATACATAAATTTCACATAAACTTAATATTATGGTAAATTAAATTGTAAATTAAATAACCAGGACTATGTGGTCTAATGGTATCCGGGTTGGACTTCCATTTGGAAGGTTGTAAATTCGAGCCTCAGTGGAGGCGTTATTGGCTCTTTGTGTTTCAGTAGGTTGAGAAAGTATATGAACAGATACTACAATGTAATAGAGCTAGTAGCATTCAAAAAAAAAATTGTAAATTAAATAACTTCAGTTACTCATGAAATATAACTTTAAAATTTATTATAATTACAAAATTGACCTCATGTTTTTTTTTTTTTTTAAATACTAAAACTCTTAACCATTGATAAGATATAATGAGAGATTATAATCGGTGATCACATTTTTATAAGAGGACCTTATTTTCATTTGGTAATACCCATATTAGTGTTTTATAGGAGAAAATTTCAATTTTGGTCATATGACTATAAGGCTTTGTTAATTTGAGCACCTGACTTTTAAAAGTGTCAATTTAGTACCTTGACTATGTAATTTTTATCAATTTTGATCACTACAGTTAAATTGCTGGTCAAATTTCGCCAGAAAAACTTAATCCTTCATTTAGTCTATAATCTGAGGGGCAAAATCGTCTTTTGAAGTCTGGTAAAATTGTCTTTTTTTTTCGGCGAAATTTGACCGCTAATTTGATTGGAGTAACCAAAATTGACAAAATGTACATACTTAAGATATTAAATTGACACTTTTAAAAGTCAAGTGCTAAAATTAACAAAGCCCCTATAGTCCCCTATAGTCATATGACCTGAAATTTTCTCTGTTTTTTAGGTTTCCATCCAAATAGCTAAATCTATCATAACAAAAACTAAATATGATTATTAGGATTTAGGAGTATGTACTATTGCAATTATATGTTATTTAGAGACAAAAATTACATACATATGCTTTTATAACTCGTGGACAAACTACAATTTTCTCTTTGAAAAATATTCCACTTTAGTTAGTTTTTTTTTTTAAAAAAAAAAAACTAAAATACACTTTTCATTTGTGAAAATTTGACCAAATTAAACTTTTCCATGTACCAAGATTATGTGGTCTAATGGTATTCGGATTGAATTTTTATTTAGAAGGTTGTGAGTTCAAGCTTTAGTGGAGGCCAACAGATACTACATTGTAATAGAACCAGCAGCATTCAAAAAAAAAAAAAAAAAAAACTTTTCCATATCATATTCACTAACATTTTAAATAAAAAAAAGATTTTTTTAAGAAGTCAAGTACTAAAACTGAATAAATCAAAATCGAGATTAAAAGTGAAAATTTTATTATAATTGAAGAACCAAGATCAAGATTAAAAGTGAAAATTTTATTATAATGGGAAAATGGTACTTTTTACCCCTGAGTTATATACTTATAGCACTTTTTCCCCCTCAATTATTTAGGTAAGCACATTAGCCCCCTCAATTATTCTAAAAGTGGTGCTTTTTCCTCTAATATATTAAATTGACATTTATACCCTTAAAGTAAACATTTTATTTATTTTATTACTCCAACAAATTATTGCGTATACGTAGGGATGAACACGGTTCGGTTTGAATTGAACCGTTACTAAAGCAATTGAATTAATAGTTTATGGTTATGATTCAGATCTAGAACCCAATATTTAAATGTCAATTTATTAAAATTATGTATCAAAAAAGTTGAATCTTGAACCATGAACCGGCGGTTCCGGATCTGATTTGCGATTTTGAACTGTCTTTATTTTAAAATTTTATTTTTTATTTTAAAATAGTCTAAATTCAATAATAAATGTATTTTATTTTTTCAGTTCGAAACATGAACCGTCCGTTCCGGTTCACGATTTTAATAAACTCTAAATATCGAATTTCGATTCTAAATTGTAATTGGAATATTTCGGTTTGGTTGCTATAGTGTTTGTTTAGTTTGAACCAAATTATGGTCATAATTTTTTGGAGAAAAAATAAATTAAATATTTAGTTTAAGGGTAAATATGTCTATTTAACTTTTCAGGGAAAAAATAACCACTTCAATAATTTAGGGGGAAAAAAATGCTATAGGTATATAACTCAGGGGGAAAAAGTGTCATTTTCCCTATTATAATTGAAGAACCAAGAGTGGATGGAATATAATAAATTAATTTTATAATTACAGTGCACAAAAATTTCAAAATAATGGAAAATAATAGTAAATAAATGAATCAATTACCTTAGCAGAGCTGTTATACAAATTCTACCGAAAATACCAAACGTCAATACAGGTGGAGGCATCAGTCTGCATAAGTAGAAGAAATATATATGGATATTGAAATTAAAATCAGAATAAAATATTAAGAAACTGAAGTATACAAACGGTGTGATTAGTTGTTAACTTGAAGTCCGTTGCAATTAACTATTTAAAATATTAAATGTCAGGTGAGAACATTTCTCCCTGTAAAAAATATGAATATATCTATATTCTCAATCTTAAGAAATTAAAGGTTAGAATTTTGTCATTACTTAACTTTCAAATTTGCAATAATTATAAAATGAATCACATTCTTAAAAGATTTCAATAAAATTGATTCCATATTTTTTTTTTTACAGAACCTTCACCCATTGATGAATCATAATAGACGGTTAAAATCAATCTTCACTTTGATTAATGTAAAACCGTGCAAACAACTACATGAATAAACATATTCTATTATATGAATGCACATTAACTACTCCCATTCATGCAGGCCTAAATGATAGTCGAGATTCTGGGAGTAGTTATTGCCCATGTTTGGTAACATATATAGTTAGTTTATCAATTAATTTTAGCTTGTTTGACCACTATTAACTGTTTGATTTTGTTAAACATTCAATATTAATATTTGATCAATTAATTTTTTTGTAACAACTTATACTCCAAAACACTAAATTTAAAAAGTTATTCAAAACAATTTGTTCTGATTAACTATTTGAAAAAATCATCTTGTATGTAATTAACTATTAACTAACAACTAATTTAATAAACATCTCTTTAAAATCAGCTAATGCTATCAACTAATCAAACTCATTTTTCAATAAGCTAAAAGTTATTTAACTAACATCCTCATTGTAAACTCATTTATTAGATTTTGTGTACTCATGCACTTCTCACGGTCTTACGGTCTTAAGTTAAACATAGTTCTCTTTTGTTATACATATATATATATATATATATATATAAAGTTAGAGAAGATATACCATAGCTACCTGTGATAGAGAATAGTTGAAGGAAGAAGGAAAAGTAAAGCCAAGGCATTAGAATACAGAACAAAGATGAAGTTACTCATCCCTCTTGTGGTGGCAACTTTGTTGAGTGTATTCATTCCTACTTCCAAACACACCACTACCATTAACACCACCATCATCCCCAACCTCTCCTTCATCTTTCTTCTTTCTTCTCCACTCTGCTCTCATCACTCACTCACCCACTTTCTGCATTATTATTTGACTCATTCTCCCTAGCTATATTAATTATTGTTTTGTCATGTTTATCATTTTGATAGATGCGAATGAATAAAGAAACATTATTTTTTGTTTCCTATATATCTAGGTGCATGTTGAATTGTGTTGGCACTTGGCAATGCAAATGGCAACTACGTAGCATGACACATGCACCTCCTATGATGAGTCACGTGGGTGATGAAACTTAACCATATCAGGAAGATATATCAAACTGCTAGAAGATTATTATGGTGGCCAGTTTGATAATATAGCTCATAAGTTAATTTTGGCCGGTTTAATCAAGTTTGGTTAGTTTAATTGGTCCATACGTTACTTTAAGTATTTGATAAAATGGTTTATTATATTATCTTAATCAACTAATAAGTCAAAATTTGAGAAACTAAGAACAGTAGAATTTTTGGTTGTCCAATTGATCTTAATTATAAAATAATCATTTTACAATTGTCATGCATCCTTAATATTTATATCTTTCTTGTTGTTTTTCATCTGCTTTGCCATTTTTTCTTTTTGTTTCCGTAATAACAATAATAATTTTCTTTTTAATTTCACTCAAAATAATAATAATATAAATAAATAAATAAAAATTATTAAAATAATTTTAAGTGTTAATAAATTAGCACAAGAGAAATGTCACTTTCCGCCCGAACTGGGACCCTTAAGGAGTGGGGCTTTGTTAATGGAGTCATTCACAACAAAAAAATCACGGTGAAATTCAAAAAAGACACTATTATCACATGTGAACCGATTAATAGACAAAAGTGGTATAGATAATTGGGGAACATGCAATATATTTGACAATTTTAGATTTCTAGACACAGAAGGTAACGACGCATGGCCTACACAAGAAATTCCCAAACCTATACCGTTGCCGACTCGTAGCATGTCACCACCAACGTACGGCTCAGATTGAGCCATCATAGAAGCGCCCGGAGTCGCGTGGGAAGAGGCCTCGGTGTCCGGAAACCACATATCACCTCCTGCGGTAGTGGTGTCATCGCCGGCGACCACCATATGCGCCTGAGCTGGCAGCTGGCTGGTGTAGCGTTTGAAGTAATATACGGCGGAGTGATTGTGGGACCTGCATATCTGACATCGGGGTGTGCCGCCACGGCCACGACCTTGTCCACCGCGTCCTCGTCCACCATTTTGGCCACAGTTTTGTCCACCTTGCTGCTTGGGTCCGGAGCCACCATCGTGGTTCTGCCTACGGCCACGTCTAGCCACCATCGCCGTTGGAGGACCACCAACTGCTCTAGCGCCACTCGCCGGGAAATCCTCACCGTAGATAAACTCCTGGGCATGGAGAAAATATGATAATTGAGGGATTGACACCAGAGTACCTGTGACGGCAAGTGAGGCGGCCAAGGCGCGGAACTCCGGGCGGAGGCCTCTGAACACGTAGGGGTTCTGTTCGTCCAGGCTCATCGGCCGGCCAGCCAACGCGAGGTTCTCCATGATCAACTGTGCCCGCCCGAGGTATTCCGCCGGCGAGTTGTCACCCTGTCGGAGATTCTCAAATTGTCCGAGGAGATTTAGGCATCGTGCTCGAGTGGATGATCCCAATGCCGCCGTGACGGAGAGCCAGACTTCGCGGGACGTATTGCGGCCTACGGCGAGATACATCACCTCGTCGGAGAGAGACGAGAGAGGAGGGAGAGAATTGACTGGTCCCGTTGGACCCAGAAGGTATACGTCGGATTCGGGGAAGTGGTGGACGTCGTTCTGCCGGAGGCTTCATCGCTGGCAGGGGCGGTGGTGAGAACCGCCAGTGGGCACGGTAGCTCCCCGTCGACGTACCCAAGCAATCCCTGGCCGCGGAGGAAAGGGATCAGCTGCGCTCGCCAAAAGAGGAAGTTCCTCGACGTTAACTTCAGCCACACGAAATGGTGTGCCGCCGATAGAGACATCGGGGTGGCCGGAGGTGCGGTGGTGGCAGCGATGACAGTGCGTTCACTGGAGTTTGTCGACATTTTTGGGAGAGGGAGAACCTATCGCTATCTAGTACCAGATGATGAAGTGATAAGTCTATCGATTGATTCTCTCAACAGTACAAATATATGAGGAATAGTAGTCCTAAACTATGCCTATACACCAGGCTATTAGTTGTAGACTAAATCCAATACAATAGTTACAATAATAATAATAATAATAATAATAATAATAATAATAATAATAATAATAATAATAATATCACTAACAGTTGGGAGTGTGGACCCATCAAGTGCAGTCAACTACACTCTCCCTTCTGGGTCTGGTGTATCGGGGTCAGTATCTGCTTCTAGTCTTCTACAACTCCTCTCTTAGCTTAGTTTAGTTAGCCATTTTTCTTTCCATGCCTTTACATACACTTGATTTTTGTTGTCACATTAGACTGGATTGTTTGGATGTTTTACTAGCCTTCATTGCCTTATTTCAAATCACGCATGCATCTGTACTTGTACTTTAGCATTCTTTTGCATCTGCATCTGTACCTGTACACTTTTTTTTTTTTTCTAGTGGAGGTCGCTTATCATGTACACCCATTATGGTGTGCGCATGTGGATTGCCTTTAGAGCAACGCAATCCACATAGTTACGTGTGTACGCGGACCGCCTACCCCACCTTGCAAGCCCATCTTCGTACACGCATTGCAAAGCCACACGACTTTATGTGTACGCGGGCCGCCAACCTTGCCTTGCAGGCCCAACTTGATGTGCACATGTGGGTTGCCTCTAGAACATTGCGAACCCACACGACTTGGTATAACATGTTGCCTACCCTGCTCTGCAGGCCCAGTTTGCCTCTAGAGCATCGCAAACCCACATGGCTTGGTATACGCGGTCCGCCTACCTTGCCCTGCGGGCTCGATTTGGAACTCGCATGTCAGTTAGTTGCCTCCAAAGCATTACAAACCCACATGGCTTGGTATACACGGGACCGCATACCTTGCCCGACAGGACCGCTTTGGAACGCACATGTGGGTTGCCTCCAGAACATAGCAAACCTACATGGCTATGTGTATAGGACAGTATGCGGGCCGCCTACCCTGCAAACCTGGTACGTTGCGCGCATGTGGGTTGCCTCCAGAGCATTGTAAACTCACATGGCTTGGTGCACATAGCAAGCATAATCAGATAACTTTGGGGAAATAAAAAGCTTTATTATGCAAATTCTTAGCATACTTATGATAGAGAGGAGGCCATGCTTGTGAATGTCAGCCATGATACCTCATAGGATAGTTGCTTTCGTCAATACTTCAGTTCTCTACTTGAAGAATTGTTAGGTGGTGCGCATTCCATACACGATCGATAAGATTTCCTTGCATTGTCTATAGCTTATAAGTGTCTTTCTGTACAGCTTTAGATATTCTATAGGGTCTATCCCAGTTGTTGGCCAACTTCCATCCCTGTAAGGGTTTACTGTCTTCTCTCCGGCGTAGCACCAAATCACCTACTTAAAATTGCCTTAGGCGGGCTTGTGCATCGTGGTAGCGTTTCACAGTGCGCTGATACTCAACAATGTTTCTGCGGGCTAGTTATCTTCTTTCCTCTAGGAAGTTCAATTCCACCCTTAAGTCCTCCCCGTTCTAATCTGGTTGAAGCGCATGACCCTCTCCGTGGGTATGAATACCTCTACAAGCGTTTAGGCCTTATAACCATATGCCATGGCAAGGGGGGTTTCACTAGTGGCCTTTCACAGAGTCGTTTTATACGCCCATATGATAAAAGGTAATTCTTTATACTAGGCGGAGCTCGCGGCTTCCACTTTTTTTTTTTTTTTTTTTACAATCCAAAATGGTACGGTTGGTGTTTTCAACTTGGCCATTTGCCTATGGATAGGCTATTGCTATCATGACGTGTTCTACGTCATAGTAGGCGTAGAAACCACCGAAGTCTTGGTTGTCAAATTGCTTGCAATTGTCCGACACGATCTACTGTGGTAATCCAAACCTCGTGAAAATGTTTTTCCAAACGAATTTTCAACATTGATATTCTATGATGGAGGCTAGGGATTCGGCTTCCACCCACTTGGTGAAGTAATCGATTAAGAACTTTAGACTGTCGACTCCTTTAGTAAATGTACTTTATAATATACTTTAGAATAATGTACTTTATGTGTTAAAATAATATATTTTATGAGTTAGAATAATGTACATTATGTATTTTTGGACCATGGTCCACACAACTATGTGGACCACGATCCACATAACAACGATTGGGAGGCAACCTAGGATTTCTATTCCTTATAGAGCTCCTATACTAGCCCAAAATATGCACAAATAAACTCCATACAGGGGAGTAGGACAAGCAATTATGAGCAATAGAGCATATTTATTCTCTCCATATATTTTCTCTATATTTTTCCCATGCATATACTCGTTATTTTAACGGTTGTGTTGGCCAGTTCTTGATCGCTCGAAAGTTATAAAACCAATATTGGCGCGGGGATCAAAATGAAAGGTTTACGTTCGTTCCTCAAACCTAAGATACAAATCCCAAAAACCTAGATCATGGTGACCGCACAATGACATACTCAGATTGATGAGTCGGTCCAAGACCCGCGGGAACCCCTTCAATAGTATTATTTTTTAATTGAGGGTAATTTAATAACTTCAAATATTGCAGATACTATTTTTCGGCCGTGAAAATTATTTGTAGTGGAAACTTGTTGAGTGTTGTTTAGCATTATGTCCAAAAATTTAAAATCAATGTGTCAATGATTTTGTGGTCTAGTAGCACAAAGTCGGTCTCTCGTATTAAAGGTCATGGGTTCAAATTTTGGTGGAGGTGATATTTATTTTTGGAAAAATGGCACTTTTTCCCCCTATGTTGTTTATTAATAGCATATTTTCCCCTTGTGTTGTTTATGTAACCACTTTATCCCCTTCAATTGTTTTTGAAGTGGCTATTTTTTCCCCTCTCCGTTAAATCAGTGTTAGGGATGTTAAATATGAGGGTAAAAATGGCATTTCACTTATTATTATTATTATTATT